GGCTGTAGGGCCGGCGAATTTATTTTGCGATAAATAACGAGGTCGCGTAGGGCCGGCGAATTATTTGTTGAGGATGTCTCGAGCGAAACGCTTGTTTTTCAGAATTGGTTGAGGATGTCTCGAGCGAAACGCTTGTTTTGTGTTATAGATTGTTCTCTCCTGGGGACCTCAATTCTGAGGATCTCTCAAGTGGATTGCTTGTTTTCACGTGCCCAGGTCTTGAGGATGTCTCGAGCGAGACGCTTGGTTTCACGCCTCCAGGTGGCACAGACAGATGTCTAGCATGAGGATTTGTTGAGGATGTCTCGAACCAGAGGCAGGCTTGTTTTCACGTGCCCAGGACGCCCAGGCGGATGTCTAGCATGAGCATTTGTTGAGGATGTCTCGAGCGAGACGCCTGTTTGCACGTGTCCAGGTTGCCCAGGGACGATGTCTAGCATGAGGATGTGTTGACAACGTCTTGAGCGAAACGCGTGTTTTCACGTGTTCAGGTCGCCCAGGCACGGCACAGCCCTCGGCACGGTACATCAATATCGATACCCTTCGCATTGCAGCCTGGCATGTTGCCTGGCACGTTCCGCGGAGCGTCCCGTGGCGAGTCCCCCTGGCACGTCGCGCGGTGCACGTCCATTGGCACGTTCCGTAGCGCGTCCCCTTGGCACGTCCCGCGGTGCGTGCCCATGGCACGTCCCCTGGCACGTCGCCTGGCGCGTCCCTTGGGACGTTCCGCGGCGCGTCCTCTTGGCATGCTCCTCTGTCGATTAGTTCTTGGGCAGCTACCATCGGCTCAGGCAGCTCGAGCTTACGATCCAGATCAGTTCGGTGAGGACTCGGATGCCAGGGAGGACTCGATCCACAACGCTATATGGAGCGCAATCGCGGCATGGCACATCGCAGTTCAGCACGGCCCAGCACAGCACAGCCGTCGGCACGGTACATCAAGATCGATACACTCAACCATGCACTTTGGCACGTTCCTTGGCGCGTTCCGTGGCGAGTCCACCTGGCACGTCGCGCGGCGCGTCCCCTGGCACGTCCCTCGGCACGTCCATTGGCACGTTCCGTAGCGCGTCCCCTTGGCACGTCCCGCGGTGCGTCCCCATGCCCCATGGCACGTCCCCTGGCACGTCGCCTGGCGCGTCCCTTGGGACGTTCCGCGGCGCGTCCTCCTGGCATGTTCCCTCTGTCGATTAGTTCTGGGGCAGCTGCCATCTGCTCAGGCAGGTCGAGCTTACGCTCCAGATCAGTTCGGTGAGGACTCGGATGCCAGGGAGGACTCGATCCACAACGGTATATGGAGCACAATCGCGGCATGGCACATCGCAGTTCAGCACGGCGTAGCACAGCATAGCCCTCGGCACAGTACGTCATCATCGATACATTCAGCATTGCATGTGCCCGTCGCCCAATCAGGTGTCTTTGAAATGTTGCAATGCCTTACATTTCTATATTCCTTTCCGGGTTCGTGGGTCGATCATGTTCCATCATAATTGGATTCAGCAGAGCTAGATCAAGATGTTTGGGCGCCGTGCTGGAAATTTACTTGCGGAAATCGCCAAATTTACGAGCGACCATGGCCTCGTGCTCCAGACGGGAGTGCAATTTACAAACGATCGTGGCGTCGGGGGGGCGAACGTGACGCAGTTTGGCAAGATGTCGTGGCCTCGGGGGTGCGAAGTTGGCCAGTCTATGCATGGATTGGGTGGTGCTCGGGGACGTCAGCATGTCAGTTGAGGAGCTTGGGCTTCGGTGGATCCACGCCCTTGGAGGAGTCGCTACTGCCACTTCAGCTACCACTGGCAGGCCGGGCGAGGACGGCAGGATCATCGACTACGCGCCGGTGGCCACCAACCTGGCCACCAAGGTCGGCGCGCCCGAGGTGGATGGGGCTGCCCACGCTTCACCCCGCAGCCCAGTTGTGCACCCGTTACGCATAGTGGATGCGCCAATGTGATGCCGCGTCCTTCACGAGCCAGGGGGGCCGAGGCGCCATCCCACGCATTGTTTGCGCGCGCCCCCCCCCCCCCCCCAAAAAAAGGAGAGGCAACGGGCGTCCAGCTTGTTAGAGATGGCCGCAGATCTCGAGTCGCTGAAGTGCGCCCTGGACGCAGTTGCGATGGAGGTCCGCATGGATCGTTGGGATGTGCAGGGCCGAGCCGTGCGAAGCGCAGCGAACGTGGAGGTCATGTCCGCACAATGCGGACGGCTAGACATCGAAAGCCCGTTCGCATTCGGCTGCAGCAGGGCACTGCGTCACGGGCTTGGGGGCGGTTGCCAAGTGGGCTGGGCGCGCAGTAGCCTTTCGCAAACATATGCGGACCGAGATTCAGAGGCTCCAGGCGGCGAGCGCGGCATGTGCGGCGGCGCCTGCGCTTGCCCAGTTTGCTGCCACCAGTGCTTATTATGTGGAGCACCAGGCCTTCTTTCATTGTGCGTTGAGGAAGTTTGGCGCGAACGGGCAGCTGCCTACGTGGCTGGTCTCATCGCCACTGGCATGGCAATCTGGTTGCCAGGCGACTTCGAAGCATTTGTGGAGGTGACCGGGACAAAACCGAAGGCCACCTGCAGCAGACCACAATGGTGCGCAACGCTCGCCGGAAAGAGTGGGCGCACCGGGAGTTCATAGGCAGCGGCGCAGGTCAAGCTCACAGGGCCACCAGGTTTCGCGCGCTCCAGGAGTTCATTGGGGCGCCGGTAAATGGCGAGCCTTGCGAGCTGGTCGAACGAGAGCTGCGGCCTTGGAAGGAGGTCTGGGCTCGCCATGATCTGGGCGCGCCGCGGCTGCCAGCCGACGTGGTTATGGAGAGGCGTTGCCACCACTATCAGGGCCGCAGCTCCGACGGGCGCGCGCTTCCTTTGCGGCGCGCGCGGCGGCTGGCCCCAATCACATCGCCCAGGGGGCTCTTCTCAACTCTCCGATGAAGGGCCGCGCGCCGTTTCAACGCTCAACGCTAAATCTGAAGGGCCCCATCGCGCGGCCAGAGGCACGCAGAATCAACTATGTCGCGCGACCACCGAATAGGGCTTGCTGATAGCTCTGGTTCAGACTCTTGCGAGGCCGCGGGCCAAAGCTCGGCCCCCTCGATCCAAGGCGCGGCTGGGGGGGGGGGGGGGGGCGACAACCCAGACTGCTGGAGCCGCGGCGGCCCTGGGCTCTCGCCCAGCCACGCAGCTTTCGCCCGCGACCTGGAGGCCGAGTCGACCCAGCTGCTGTGGAGAAAGGTTGATGGCAGCAGTCATCGACGCCCGCGAGCGCTTCGAGCGCGTCAATCCCCGCGCGCTTCTCGAAGAGGGGCGGCAGCGCAGGCACCCCATGAGATTGCATTGGGCGTTGCTGCAGTACCGCGGACCACCACTGGTCATCAGAGCGTTCGGCTCGTGGCCAACGCAGTTCGCTGCGCCGCGGGGGATCTTACCGGGGCGCCCCCGCCCGAGGACGCCGCCGACCCCGCCGCCGCGACGCGCGACGCGTCGATTTGCCAGCTTCGGGGCCATGCCAGGCGCAGGTCGATGATCTCACGCCGCAGCGGGTCGAAGCGACCCCCATGTTTCTCCGCGCTGGGCTCGGGGCGGCCAGGGCGTTCATCGCGCGGGCTCGCCCCCTCGGACTGATTTTCTAGTTGACAAGTCTGGTCTGGCGGCCGCGCCAAGACCGCGAGAGCGGCGCGCAAGTCTGCGACGTCGCTCGTGGCCCCGCTGAAGTCGCGCATCCGCAACCTCGGCCATGGGCCCCCTGGCAGCGGCCGCAGGGGGCGCCAGGCGCGGGCTAGGACGACCGAATGGACAAAGAGAGCGACGCAAGCAAAGGCGCTTTGCAGAGCGGCCGTCGACATGGCGCCCGCGATCTGGAGGTCGGTGCCATTGAGCTCGGCAAACCACCTTGCCGCGGTCAGTGGTGCCTCCGACGGGTCTTCAGATTCTGCGATGCGTCGCCGGGGCCCTCGCTGGACCCGGAGCAGGACCCTCGGGGCTCGCGGCGCACTTCATGACCCAAAGGGGCCCCTGGCATGATCCCATATACAACGCCACTCCGCGCCCCGCGCAAGCATTCTCGCTTGCCGTGCGGGGCGCCACCGTCGCGCTCTGCGCGCTTGCACGGGCCTGGGGGGATTTCGCATTGTGGTTTTCTGCGTGTGCTTCCGATTGGGCACGCGCTGGCGGCCCGTCAGCTGCGGTTGAGACGATCGCTTCGAAAGATGCCCCCGCTCGAACGCGCCCCTCGCCGGCGCCCGCGAGCGGTTCCGACCAGGCGCCCAGAGGAGGCGATCAGGGGGTCCCGCGATTGCCGCGCGAACTTGGATCGAGGGGGCGCGATCTGGACGCGCTCGGATCGACGCTGCGTCGGGGGCCCTGCTGCCGCGCTCAAGCGCGCCACCTACGCTGGAACTCTGAGAGCGCCCTGGGCCAGCGGGGTCTGGGCCCCAGCTGATTGAAGCTTGCAATGCGGAGCGCTCGTCGGAGCGCTCGGGCACTCGCGCGCCGCGCAAAGAGGAGCCTGAGACCCACTCCCACCCTGCTCTCAGATGTCAGGGGTTGCGCGCCAGCCATGGGGGCGAGGATCGCGGCCACCTGCCGGGGTCTTCGGCCCGGATCCGAGACCTCACGCTCGGTGAAGGCCCGACAAGTTTGCGCCGCGCCGACCCGATCACGCCGGCGCGCGTCTAGGTTTGACCGCGGGCCCCCCCCGCGCCGATCCCCCCTCGCTTGGGCCCCCCACGCTCCATTGAGGCGACTGGGGGTCGCGCTGCGAGGCGCGGGGGGCGGCGGCCTTCACCGGCGGCCCCTGGCTCGCGACAGACAACCCCGCGTTGACAAGGTGCGGGCGGTTTGCGATCCGGCTCTCGGAGGCTAGAGTGCCTGCGAGAGCGGCCTGCAGAGGCCTGCATGGCTCATTGCACGAAACGGTTGGAAATGTTAAGCGTCGAGCCGCGCTCGAGGCCAAGCAGCGACGACGCCCCTCGGAGCCCGCGGCGTTAGATCTGGCGCCCCTCGCATCTGAAGGCTCGGATTGGTCGCCCGATCTTGCCAGGGGAATGGCCGGCCACGCGTTGATCTGGCGACGTCTGCTGGACTTGGCCGCGAAGCAGAAGGCGCCCCCCCCCGCTCGCCGCGGTTCCCGCCGCGTCTGGAGCTCGAGGTCGTGCCCGCGAATCCGCGAGCCTTTTCTTTGGATCCTTGGCAATGCCTGGGCTTCGACTACTTTGCCAAGGCCGGCGCTTCCGAAATCGCCGCGCCCCAGGCGCTGGCCCGCGCGCGCATGAACGCGCCCAGGAAAGCACGATGTTTCTCCCGATATGTCGCCTGCGCTGCCACCCACCGCGTCGAATTTGCTAAGCTGAACGAACCCGACTAGCACCCGCCCTGGCCGAACAAGGCCGAGCCTGAAATCCAACCTGCGAGCTTTACAGGGCACGAGCTTGTCTGGGCGAGCTCGAGGCAGGAGGCGAGGCGCAGGTCGTGCAACATGCGCGCGCGCACGCAGCGCTGGCTGGCTGAAAGATCCTTCAGCTAGCTGCCAGCTGGCGACGTGGCTCCGATGGAGAAGTCTCCCCTTTCGACCATCGCGGGGGCGGTGCTCGCCGACGGCGGCCACACCGCGGGCGCGCCTCCCCACCCTCCTCTGCCTCACGTTTCCCCTGCTGCCGCCCTCCTCGGCGGCTTCGGCCATGACTGCGCGCAGAGAGGCACTGCGTTTTGCCGCCACCCGTGCGGCGATCATCAAGCAACAGGAGGGAACACCTCAAACTTGAGAGCCCAGTGCAAAGGCGCCCCCAAGTCAAGAAGCCCCCAGCTGGGAGCTGCCACTCGAGTGCGCAGGACCCCGGCTGGCCTTCGCCCTGTGACAGCTAAGCCGCTCTAATATGAGCGGTCTTTATTGTGGCGCGCCCTGCGCGTCTTCTCCTGACTTCGACGAGAAGCTCCGTCCTCGCCGATGGCGGCAGGCACCTGGCGAGGGCTTCCGTCTCTGCTCCGCGGCCGGCATCAGCTGCGCTTGCAATGAGCAAAAGGAGCGTGGATTTGGCGACACGCACGACGGATCGCAGCGCCGGGGGCCCGAACGTTGCACACATGTCAAGGGGTCGCGGCCTCGAGGGGCGCGAGCGCGGCGCAACGCGCAGGGGGTCGAGGCCTCGGGGGCACGGCTCGGCGCGATTCATAAAGGATCGCGTCCGCGGGGGCGTTTCCCTCTTGTTCGTTCGGCTTCTTGCTCCCCTCGTGTGTTCTTGTCCGCCGCTTCCGCTGCCTCGTTTTCGCCACCGTTGTGGCCCCATTGTTCCGCGTGCTGCCTGCGCTTGGCTTGCGCTCTCACGACTTCTTAGACGGCGCGCAGCTGCCTGCGTCGCTCGCGATCAAAAAGTCCGCGGGGGCGCGGGCGCGGCGTAATTCACAAGGTCGCTTCGGACGCGGGGTTCCGATGGGACGCGCGAAGGATCGTGGCCTCGGAAGTGCGAGAGCGGCGCAGTGCGCGGGAGAGCGCGGCGCTGGGGGCGCGAAGTGGTTGCATTTTTACAGGGGGCGCGGCTTCGGAGGCGCGATTCTAAATGCACGTGGTTTCGGGGGGCGCGATTTCTATGTATCTTCAAGTGTCCCAGGGCCCCCCAGAAATTGTAATACCCCCCCCCCTCCCAAGGAAAAGTAGCCTGACATTTTTCGGTTCCCCCCCCATTCGCGCGGACAGCAACATCAGGTTTACATTGGAAATCAGAAACCAGTATTGCAACACTGGAGATTGGCAGCTGGAACTGGCTGCCTACGGCAAGTCCCGCCACCGTTTTCGGACTGTGTGTATGCAGCCTGATGGATGTTCGGTGGGATTTCGTGGGAGGTCTCTCGGGGACTTTTGGGGGGCAGTTTCGGCGCCTCTTGGGGGCAGTTTCCGGGCAGTGGCCTCTTTCGAGCCTCTTGGAGCCTCTTGGGGTCTTCGGGAGAGGGAATATCATGGCGCCTCTTGGGCGCCTCTCGGGGCCTCTTAAGGGCTTCTTGGCGCGGAAGGCTTGGATTGTCCGCTCGTGGTGACCATCTTGGGGCGTTTTTGGGCAGTTGTGGGGCCCTCTTGGAGGCCTCTTGTGCCGTTTGGCGGTTGTCTCGGGAACCTCGTGGCCCGTCTTGGAGAGCCGGGTTGCCGAAAAGGCGAGACAGCCAAAATCTTTCAAAAACCCTGAGGGGAATCAATGATTTGTGCGTTTGTTCGGCGATTCGGAGCCCTCTTCAGCCGTTTTGGGGGCCTCCTGGGGCCGTCATGGAAGCCTTGGAGAGCCCGAGGGAGGCGCCATGGCCGCCCAGGGACACCCCTGGAGTAGGGCGGTCTGGTGGGTGTCACTGGAGCGGGTTGGGAGCCCCTTAGAAGATTTCAGACACCCTGCCAGGCAGCCCTTGGCAGTTCTCCACGCCTCAACGTGCCGTGGGCACTGTGGCGGTAGTATGACGAGTTGTGTTGTTATTGCTTGTATTCGTGAAAGTAGTATTTTTCTTGTCGTAAGTAGTAGCACTAGTAGTACTAGTAGAACAAGTAGAACAAGTAGTAGTAGTAGTAGTAGTAGTAGTAGTAGTAGTAGTAGTAGTAGTAGTAGTAGACGTAGTAGAAGTAGTAGTAGTAGTAGTAGTAGTAGTAGTAGTAGTAGTAGTAGTAGTAGTAGTAGTAGTAGTATAGTAGTCGTAGTAGTAGTTAGTAGTAGTAGTAGTAGTAGTGTAGTAGTAGTAGTAGTAGTAGTAGTAGTAGTAGTAGTAGTAGTAGTAGTAGTAGTAGTAGTAGTCGTCGTCGTCCGTCGTCGTAGTAGTAGTAGTCGTAGTCGTGGTCCTAGTCCTAGTCCTAGTCCTAGCAGTAGTAGTAGTAGTAGTAGTAGTAGTAGTAGTAGTAGTAGTAGTAGTAGTAGTAGTAGTAGTAGTAGTAGTAGTAGTAGTAGTAGTAGCAGTCGTAGTAGTAGTAGTAGTAGTAGTCGTAGTAGTAGTAGTAGTAGTAGCAGTAGTGGTAGTGGTAGTGGTAGTGGTAGTAGTAGTAGTAGTGGTGGTAGTAGTAGTAGTAGTAATACTCGTAGTAATAGTAGTAGTTGTTGTTATAGTGTAGTAGTCGTAAGAGTAGTACTAAAAGAAATAGTCGCACTAGTAGTAATAGTAGTAGTGTGACTACTCGTATTGCCAGTATGACCCTTATTAGCATTGCGTCCATTCTCTTAGTACAAGTGCGATTACTAGTGCTATCCTCATTCGTATATTTATCAGCGTTCGCATGTTCATTATCATTATTAGTATGCTTTCTGTTGGTCGTATTAGTACACTTCTGCTACATCTTAATATTTGTACCACTCTTCGTAGTATGCGGCTTCTGGCTGGTCCCATGCACAGCAGCTTATGCGAATTATCAATGGCGTTCTTCTTCTTACCAGCAACATGTTTAGTATTGGTCGTATTAGATGTGTGAGTCTTCTTTGTATTAAAAGTAGTGCTAGTATCTTAATCAGTCGTAGTCGTAGTAGTAGTAGTAGTAGTTGCAGTAGTGGCAGCAGCTGTCTAAGAAGAAGAAGAAGTAGTAGTAGCAGTAGTGGTAGTAGTAGAACTAGTACGAGTACTAGTAGTAGTAGTAATTGTAGAAGTAGTACCAGTAGCAGTAGCAGTAGTAGTCGTAGTAGTAGTAGTGGTAGTAGCAGTAGTGGTGGTAGTGGTAGTGGTAGTGGTAGTGGTTGTGGTTGTGGTTGTGGTTGTGGTTGTAGTAGTCGTAATAGTAGTAGTAGTAGTAGTAGTAGTAGTAGTAGTAGTAGTAGTAGTAGTAGTAGTAGTAGTAGTAGTAGTAGTAGTAGTAGTAGTAGTAGTAGTAGTGGTGGTGGTGGTAGTAGTAGTTGTAGTAGTACTAGTAATAGTTGCAATGGTAGTAGTCGAAATAATAATAGGGGTCGTCGTCGTCGCCGTAGCAGTAGTATTAGATAGTCAAAGTAATTGCAGTCGCCGCAGAAGTTTTTCAATACGTATCATGGTATCCCCTTTGTCCGCGCACATGCCTCTGGCCATGATTTGCGAACTCCCCTCTTGGACACCCCCTCTCGGATGCCCCTGAACCTTGGCGCCGCCTACAGCGGCTCCCCTGGGGCGCTCCGACTGCCTGGGGGGGGGCACGGTTGTGCGAGACCAGAAGTTTTACCAAGGAGTGGTGGGCCGCGGCTGGCTTCGACTGGAGCTCCCTGGAGGCGCAGAAGATGGCCCCGCCCCACGTGCCGACGCTCAGAGGCCCCGATGACCTCCACAACTTCAACTGCGAGGGCCAGGAGCAGCCGTCGAGGCTGACCTTCCACGACCGCGGCGAGGGCTGGTTCTCGGAGAGCATTGACAATACACCTACACCGGTGGTGGCCAGGCCGATCTTGGGCCCAGGATCCAGACCAGACACCTCGCGCCGTTGAAAAAACCATCCATGACGGGACGTTTTCGGTATTTCTCGGCCCCTGGGGGTCCTTGCAGGGCCTCGGGGACGTCAGAAAACAACTCAGGATGAAGGGGTTCAGACCGCGGGGGGGTTGCACGTCAGGAAAAATCACGGCGTCGGGGGTTCGGGGATCGGTGTATGCGCGTTCCTGCCCAAGTCAGGAAGGCGCTTACACCGATCCTGGGCCCAGGATGAGGAAGAGGACGAGGAGGAGGAGGAGGAGGAGGAGGAGGAGGAGGAGGAGGAGGAGGAGGAGGGGGAGGAGGGGGAGGAGGGGGAGGAGGGGAGGAGGGGGAGGAGGAGGATGAGGAGGAGGAGGAGGAGCCTGGCCAGGACTGGTGTTGGTGTCTTAGTGGCGTCCTCCCAGGTTCGACGGCTTCGAAGACGCGGTCGGCCCGGTTCTGCGGCACGACTGCGACCATGCCGCAGCGCCTCCAGAGCCGCACACCATCGCGCTCGACGCGTGATCAGCTGAGCGAGGGCGCGCGGCGGCGCCCGTCAGCCTCGGCTGCGGTGGGGACGTTACATTCAAACACATTACATGAACTACCTGTATCCCCAACTTACATTTGATACAACTTGCTATAACAAACACCATTAAAAACTTACAAACAAAACCACGCAAATTAGGTTCGTTCCATTAAATAAAAGGGAATCAACTGATATTTGGCACAACAGTTACACACAAAAAAACATAGGTATGGTTGTAACCTTGATCTAGTGAGGGCAGCGGTGATGTCCATGGCCAATCCTAAAGCAGTGGCGAAGAGTCCTGGCTCGCCTATAGGCCCACCAAAGAATGCTATAAGAATATCGTGTGGTCTACGCGAAATGTTCTTGGAACATGTCTGGCCGAGATTGTCTTGTTTTATCACGTCGGGATGATGCTCTAAGAACGCTGTTTTTTGTCATAAGACCAGTTCTGGGTCCTAAGAACATTTCATGGTAGGACTATAGGAATGCCGGGACGGTCGAAATCCACAACTGGAGCTCCACCTGCTTCCAGACCTTGGTTTCCTTACGGTGGAGGCGTTCGTTAAAGAATGCGCCCAGGAGGTTGCAGACCCTGGAGGGTTCCTTATTTGATGAGGGCGGTGGTGAGATCCATGGCCAATCCACGATTGGTTTTCCACTGGCTTAATGGTTCCTTATCCAATGCCCCCACCGTACCCATTTGTTCCTTATCCAGGGCCTTGTGGGTGAGCGTGCGGCGCGCGGTTGCTCCGCGGAGGCGCTGCCGGGCCCCCCGCCGCTCTAACGACGGCTGCGCGCAAGGGTGGAGCTTCGCCAGAGTTGCCTCTGGTGCGGGCCCACGGGGGTCCAACTCCTCCTCCTCCTCCTCCTCCTCCTCCTCCTCCTCCTCCTCCTCCTCCTCCTCCTCCTCCTCCTCCTCCTCCTCCCCAGCACTGGCTCGCGCGCTTGGATCCTCGTGGGCAGGAGGAACGTCTCCATCTCCACGGCCTCGCGAGCCGGGCCACGGAGCCGCGACCCCACGGGCACGGGGCGTGCTCCTGTCGCGGAGGCCCCGCGCGGAGCGTACCCCTGCGACCGCGCCCCCACGGGATCACGACCCAGAAGAGGCAAGGGCGCCCTCGAGGGCGCGAAGAGTTATTCGCGCTTCGCGGTTCGGCTCCGACTCCTCCTCGTCCTCCTCTTCTCCCCTTGGGAGGCGGCGCGAGAGCGCGAAGTTGTGCGCCCTTCGCGCTTCGCGCAGCGCGAAGCGCGAAGTTGGGAGCCCTTGAGTAGAATCCAGACCGCGAGGGCGGGGATCTGGATACGTTCGCCGGCCGTGAGATTTGGTCCCCCGGCGGCCCCGTAAGCTTTCAGGAGGGGGGAAAACACACACAGGCACAATGAATCGCCGACAACTGGGAACAGATGGGAAAATCTTGGAAGGGGGGGGGGGCAGTCGAAAACCCCGAAGATACAGGAAAAGGTCTGGGATTCTGGTATTCGCGTGCACTCATGTGTGCGCCCCTGTACCCCCGTCAAAACTTGGGCGCCCAAGGCCATTCGCGTCCTGGGAGGAGGAGGAGGACGACGACGACGACGACGAGGAGGAGAAGGGGGAGGAGGAGGAGGAGGAGGAGGAGGAGGAGGAGGAGGAGGAGGAGGAGGAGGAGGAGGAGGAGGAGGAGGAGGAGGAGGAGGAGGAGGAGGGGGAGGGGAGGGGAGGAGGAGGAGGAGGAGGAGGAGGAGGAGGAGGAGGAGGAGGAGGAGGAGGAGGAGGAGAGGAGGAGGAGAGGGGAGGAGGAGGAGGAGGAGGAGGAGGAGGAGGAGGAGGAGGGGGAGGAGGAGGAGGAGGAGGAAGCGCCCGCGTGCCCAGCGGCGCCTCGGCGCCCCAGTTTTTCGGGGTCGGCCCCGGCGCGCCCTGGGCGCGAGGCTCCCCAGAGCCCTCGGCCCCGCGGGGCCGCCTACACTCAGGAGGGGAAGGAACACACAGACACAGTGAATCGCCGACCCCCCAGGAAAATATAGGAAACTATGGGAAGTGGGAGGGGGGAAGGCAGACACCCCAGAAAATACAGGAAAATGTGGGGAATCTGGTTAATAATTTGCGTGTGTGTATTTCATCGCTTCGCTCATTCCGCCGGCCCTGGAGCGCTATTTGGAGCCTTTTGGGGCAGTCTTGGGGGCCTCTTGGGGGCTTCTTGGGAGCGTCTTGGGGCTCCTTGGCGGCGTCTTGGGCTCCCCTGGGGCCTCTTAGGGGGCTCTTGGGGGCCCCTTGGGGCGGGAGCGGGGGTAGTCAATTGCAGCCACCCCCTCGGAGGCCACGATCCTCGTGAGGGGTGGCGAAAAATAGCCTCCCCCCTGGGGATCGCCCGGGACCCGGCCGGGGATCAGCCAGGGTACTTTTCGTCCGGGGGCCCCCATGGGCCGCCCCGCGCGCGCGAACTAGAAATATTGTGAAGCAGTTACCAGAGATCTCAGCACGCCTCTGGCCCGTTGGGCCGGCAAATTTGTGTGTGTGTGTGTGTGCGTGTGTGCGTGCGTGTGTGCGTGCGTGCGTGCGTGCGTGCGTGCGTGCGTGCGTGCGTGCGTGCGTGCGTGCGTGCGTGCGCGCGTGCGCGCGTGCGCGCGTGCG